TATTTGATGAAAACAGATCAGTAGAAATTATCCAAACTGAAACATAGAGAAAATTAAAGAATGAAGTGGGAATAAAAAAGAAAAAAGCAGAACAAATAATTGGAGATTTGTGAGACAATATTATGTGATCTTACACAGTGGCTCTCCAAATTTTTGGTCTCAGAAGCCCTTTACACTCTTAAAATTATTGAGTAACCCAAAGGGCTTTTGCTTATATGAGTTATATCTATATTTACTGCATTTGAAATTAAAACAGGAATTTTAGAAATATTTTTTTTAATTCAATTAAAATAACAATACAACCAATACAAGTTGTATTAGTTTTTTAGGGCTGCTATAACAAAATATCCCAAACTGAGTGGTTTAAACAACGGAAACTTCTCTCATAGTTCTGGGGGATAAAAGTCTGAGATCAAGGTGTCAGTAGTGTTGATTCCATCTGAGGACTAAACACACTATCTTAAAGGCAGAAATGATCGGACTGCATTAAAAAAGAAAAATAAAATATAACTACATGCTCTTTACAAAAGATACTCTCTAGAGTTTATAAAGGCACAGAGAGATGGAAAGGAAAAGGGTTTAAAAAAGATTTTATGAAAAACTCTTGTCACATGAACACTGTAGTGACTATTAATATCAAAGAAAGTAAGCCTAAAGACAAAGAACGATATGAGATATTAAGGGTATTTATAATGATAAAAGAGTCAGTTCGTCCTGAGGACATAATAATCCTAAATGTTTATACGCCTGCTAATATAGCTCCAAAATACATTAAATTAAAAATCGACATAAGTAAAAGAATAGACAAATCTGCAAACATTTGGAGATCTTTACAATTCTGTCAATAATTGGTCAAATAAGCAAACAAAAAATATAAGAATACAGAAGAATTAAACAATACTAATCAACCTAATTGATATATATAGAGCACCATACCTAACCACTGCAGAATACACATTCTTTTTAAATTACTATGGAACATACATCAAGATAGACTAATACTGTCCTTATACCGATGATTATTAACAAGTTTAATAATTTCAAAGGAATTGAAATCATACAGAATATGTCCTAATATTGCAATGAAATTAAATTAGAAATCAAAAGCAAAAATATAACTAAAGTATCCTCAAATATAAGGAAACTAAATTATACATAAATAACCATGTGTCAAAGAAATCACAAGGAAAATCAGAAGACATTTTTAACTAAATGATTAAAACATTTTAAAATTAATAAGAAGCTGCTAAAATAGTGCTTAGAGAAAAATGTTTAGCTTTAAATCCAAGTTAGAAAAAAAGGTTAAAAACCATAATTTAAGGTATTAACTAAAAATAACAAAAATTAACCCCAATGTTAAAAAAAGAACAAACTTAATAGAAGAAATCAATAAACTAGAAAATAGATAATGAAAATCAACAAGGCCAAAAGTTGAGTATTTGAAAAGATGAATAAAATTGATAAACTCTTATAAAATTGAATGAGAGAAAAAACAAATTACTGATATTATGAGTGAAAGAGAAGAGATACCTATAACTACTTCTGACATTTAAAGGATAATAAGGCAGTGTTATTAACAAATTTAACAACAAATTGCCAACAATTTGACAAGTTAGATAAAATGGTCAATTTCTTGAAAAATGTAACTTACCAAAATTGACACGAGAAGAAAAAAAATCTGAATAGCCCTATAACTAAAAAACAGAAAACAAAGAAATGAAACCCCTCAAAAACTAAAACTGTAATTTAAAACTTCCTTAGAAATAAAATTTCAGGCTTAGGTAGTGAATGCCACTAAACATTTAAGTAAGAAAAATAGTCTCTAAAATAAAAGAGGAGGGTACACTTGCTACCTCATTTTCAGAAGCTTAAATTACCCTAATGCCAAAACCTGGCAAAGACATTACAGGGAGAGAAAATTACAGAACACAGATGCAATAAGAGAGATGCAAAAGTCTTAAACAAAATATTAGCAAATTCAATCCAGCAATACTTTAAAAATGATATTATATCATGACCACATGGTGTTTATGCAAAGGAAAGCACAGTTGGTTTAATATTTAGAAATCTATCAATGTAATTAGTATAATTAACAGAATAAGTGGTTAAAAAATCCTCAATAGATATAGGAACAACATTTGATGAAAGAACACACTTTTTATGAATAAAAATTGACAGGCTCACTCTAAAATTTTAATTGAAAAGAAAAGGACTAAGAATAGCTGGGATAATTTGGAAGAAGAGTAAAGGTGAAGAAGCTATACTTCCTGTAAACTTATAAAAGACAATATAAAGGTGCAGTAATTAAAAGTGTGGTATTTGCATAAGGCAGACAAATAGATCAAAGGAATAAAATAGAGAGCCTGGAAAAGACACACACACATATTGTTAATTAATATACCGCAAAAGTGTCAATGGAATGCGATGATGATAGAAAAGTCCAGACAACAAATCATATTGGAAAAATTAGGTAATCATCTGAGAAAAATAAAAAAAAGAACTTTGACTCCCCTACCTCACAACATACACAAAATTTAATTTGAAATGAATCATAGACCTTAATATAAAAATCAGAACCACAAAGCACCATGTTTATCTTAAATAAAACATAAAATATCTTAGACTACAAACTTGAACTAGGTTAAGACTTCTTAGGCAGTACATAGAAAGTACTAACCATAAAAGAAAAAACACAACTAATAAATTGGACTTCATCAAAAACTAAACTTCTGTTCCTTGTACTGTTATATTAAAAATTAAAATACTAAATGTTGGCAAGACTCAGAGCTCATTATCTGTCCTGGACACCTGTGGCATGGCCAAGCCAACCCCTCTCTGCTAGAACTTTGGCTATGATGAGTACAGACATCTATCCTTGGGTTATGCTCTTGAATAATGAGAATTTGTGGGACTATGTGCCTGTAAGGGCCCATTTATACTAAAGTATTCCCTTGCCAAACTCTATATCTGCACTGTGCAGTGCTACTGTATCCACAAGCCCCTAGTATTTCATTAGTAATGCAACTTGGAGCCCCCACAATGGAGTTCAGAAGGTGGGATAGGCTGGCTAGGTTTACAGAACAGAGAACATCCACTGCCCAAGGTCAAACTCACAGGAATGCACTTGGGCTCACTGAGCTGAGCACCTCATCCTCCTGCTGCAGAAAAAGCCTGCCTCCCTCAGCCCCTTACCTACTGGTTCATTTTATTCCCAAGTGCAATCCATGTGTGGTGCTGCATGTTGTACAATACCTCCCCTAGGCTGTGAGCATAAGTGACTAATAAACTTCTGTCAATCATCTGGCCAGTGGCAGATGTCATATGTTTGGCTATCTTGTGTTATGGACACAAGATCCTTCTCTCACCAATGGAGTAAATAACTGTGGATCAGAACACTGTTTGCTACAAAAACTATTCATTAAAGAAGTTATAGAATTATCTTCAAAGAAATACTTCTGCCTTCCATTTTCCAGAAAAAAAAAATGACCCTTTCTCTAATTTTTGCAAAGTAATTCAACAATAACATAACTTACATAGTAGTAAGTCTGCTTTATGACTTACTAGTATGTTGCCGTAATTTGCCAATTTTATATTTTAGAAATCCATATATAATGTTGCATGTTGACATGATAATTATAGTTGATTATCTACACCCACAGGGTTCAGGAAACTTAATTCTGCAAAGGGCAAGATTCTATTTTAGGTTTTGCAGGCATGTTACACACTGACTTGTGGTTTCCCAAATCCATGTGTTGATGCCTGCTGTTCTGAATCTGTCTGTCCTTCCCCACCCAGAGTTCATATGGTGAAATCCTAACCTCCAATGTGATGATGGTATTAGGAGGTGGGGCCTTTGGGAGGTGATTAGATCATGAAAGTGGAGTCTTTATGTAGAGAATTAATAGCCCAGAAAGATTCCTCACTCCCTCCACCATGTGAGGACACAGAAAAAAGATGCCTACTATGAACCTGGAAATGGGCCCTCACCAGACACCAAATCTGCCAGCACCTTGATCTTGGACTTCCCAGTCTCCAAAGCGGTGAGAAATAAATTTCTGTTGTTTAGACCTAGTTTATGGTATATCTGTTATAGCAGCCTAAACAGATTAAAACAAAACCCTAAAACAAAACGCTAAACAGCAATGTGAATGTACTTGAACACAAGGTCTTTAAAGAGGTAAATCAGGTTAAACGAGGTCATAAGAATATGGCCCAAATCCAACAGGACTGGTGTTCTTATAAGTAGAGGAAGAGACAGCAAGGCTGTGCGAAAAGAGGGAAGACC